AGTTGAATTGTATAGAATATGTCTTGAGTGTTGGTTAGTTGAAATTCTACTTTACCACTTCTAGCATGTGAAAAACCATATGCTTAACAATTTCTTTATCCCCCTGGTAGAATGGGGAAATCTCATCCAAGTGGTTAACCAGTTGCACTAGTTTTGTCAAGGCAAAAGCATAGGATCTTGGTCTGCATTTCCTTTTCTCTGCTTTTGCCCTTATGCTCTTCTTTGACTGCATACTACTTCCATTGATTAATGCCATTTACATTTTAAGCTTGCAGGAATTTCGGTTTTAAGCCCTCTATAGTGTATACTGTAGTAAGAGTTTGGAAGTAATATTGCCAACTGCTTTCTATCTTTTTTAGTTTCTTTTTCGAAAATACACTGATGACATGTGCATCACAGCTAATAATGAGTCTCTTTGCTGTAATAGGATGACTTTTTGCCTCGTACAGCCACCCCATTGGAAGATATATTCAAGTCACTTTTCTGGTAAAGACCATCTTCAAGCTTTGCACTTCCTGTTGCTACTGCACTGGGAAGTTAATGCAAAAATGGGCAAAATATTAAACAGATCGCAAACACTATAATTTGCAATTCATTTTTGGGATTTATAATTAAACAGATGGGCAAAAGTACCTTAAAGCTTTCAATTTTAAGCTAATATTTGCCTTTATTCCTATTTTTTTTCTAATTAGAGTCCATAAAAGTAGTTGGCTCACTCAAAGGTATGACATGCTCTATTCTTTTGTATATGGTATCAAAAGATTTTGCTTTGCCATGTCATCAGATGTCAACCCTAGTTTATTTCAAGCCTTATTATCTTACTGTTTTTTCTTTTACAATTTGGACAGTTTACCATGCCTATTGTGCCTAAGGTGCATGAGAGATACATGCATATCAGAGGAGAAGATGCTCAAAGATCCAAGGAGACTTTATGCACCTGGTCGCCTTTATCACATTGTGGAGAGAAAGCCTTTTAGGTAAGCCTACAAAAAATTAATTCACCATTACCATGGTCATCAATCATTCTCTTGAAAATTTGGTTGTTTTAGATGCAAACGTTGGTTAATGAAAATCATCAGTGATTTTTAGATGTCGCACTGTGGGTTATTGGAATTGTAGTATTTCATTATAGGAAAAATCGTCCAAAACGTCCCTCACATTTTATAAAATGACTTTTTTCGTCCTTCACTTTTAAAAGTGTAATTTTATATCCCTTACATATTTACATCGGTCAAATTTAGTCCATAACTAGGTTTCCGATCATTTTTTGGCTGGAATCCACCACGTGCAAGGCACGTGATCATTTTTAAAGGGTAAATTTGTCAAATTATATTTTACATAATCTAATCTATAGTCCTCCACATTTTATAAAACAAAATTTTCGTCCCTCACATTTTATAAAATGATTTTTTCATCCCTTACATTTCACAAAATGAATTTCTCCATCCCTCACATTTCAAAAAATGAATATTTCCATTCCTCACTAATTATGTGTGTGAGGGAAACCCTAAAAAAAATATATATGTGTGTGAATACATTTTGTTTAAACACATGTATATGTTTATTTGATTTTGCTTAATAATACGAATAGCATAAATATATGTACGTGTCTATTTGATTTCACTTAACAATACGAATACCATATATTATACGTGATCATTTGATTTCATCTGGTATTAGCTAGTAAAAAATCTTGCATTCATTGTCAAATTGGCCAATAAAACTATTTTCGGTCAAAATACAATAAGAATATGCCAAATAAGGTTCTATTGGTAAATATTAGTCATAATCATACAAAAAGAGAAGATAGCCCACAAGTTGAGCCCAATTACATACATGTGTTTATGCTATTATTATTAAGCAAAATCAAATAGACATATACATGTATTTAAAAAAAATGTATTCACACACATAATTAGTGAGAAATAAAAAATTTATTTTTTGAAATGTGAGGGATGGAGAAATTTATTTTGTGAAATGTGAGGGATGGAAAAATTTATTTTATAAAATGTGAGGGACTAAAAAATTTATTTTATAAAATGTGGAAAACTATAGATCAGATTATGTAAAATGTAATTTGACAAATTTACCCTTAAAAAATGATCACGTGCCTTGCACATGATGGATTTCGGCCAAAAAATGATCGGAAACCTAGTTAGGGACTAAATTTGACCGATGTGAATATGTAAGGGACATAAAATTACATTTTTAAAAGTGAGGGATGAAAAAAATTATTTTACAAAATGTGAGGGACGTTTTGGATGATTTTCCCTTCATTATATTCGGCTACTACAAAGTAGTATCATGAAGAAACATTGAATAATTAAAGGTCTTACGGATTTTTTTGAAGTTATAGATATAATAAGCTAATATTAAACAGGTTGAGTAATAAGCTAATATTGCGAAGACTTTGACTCTGATCAGGTTGAGTAACTCTAAAGGGGAATAATGATATCTATGCACCTTGAAGATGGTGGGGTATCGAACTGGAATGTGCCTTTATATTACCTAACTGATCAAATCAAATATAAGGACCCATACTTCCTTCTTATCCCTTCTTGCACGGCAGCCATTACAAACTTTTAGCTTCGCAAGGAGGATTGTGATCAATTTGTGTTTTTATTTTTATCAGCTGCTTTCTTCCAATTGCTAATCTGAACTTGTTCTCCTGCTAAACAAAGAGTGACTGAGTCATGATTTGTGTGAAGAAGTAGAAAATGGCATCTGCGTCCGGTAATGGTGTATAAATCTATGGAATGGTGGAGAATATCAGTTGTAATCATTCTTTATACATTTGTCCTTGTCAGGTGTGGAAGGTATCCTCCAGTTGTCAGAACTGCAGTGCCTGTGGATGGGAGATTTGAGCACATAGTTCTATCATGTAATGCCACGTCAGACCACGCCATCATTTGGATAGAGAGAGAATCCAGTAGGGCCCTGGAGGTGAGTTACTTTCAATTTTATACTTTCTATCTATTGCCAGTGAGTGAAGGCCCACCAGTATTCTATTATATAATGCTTGATTTTGATTGTGAACATCAAATAATTTGTTTACCAAGGAGTAAACTTAATTTTCCATGTAAGAGCTCATGATTCCTTCCCAACTTCTGAGCCAAGCTGGTTTTTAGTTTAACCAGTTAATACAAATGCTTTGTCTGTAAGTTGAACATTACGAGACATCTTTCAACAATTTCATCATTTCTTCTTTGGAGTCAAATTATTTTTCTTGGACTGGTAATTGTGTTATTCTGAGCCCTTTAAATTTCCTTTTCTTTCTTTTATTTGTTGGTCCAAATTCTTGAAGTTGTTGAGCTTAAAGAAAGCATGATGCTGATTTGTATGTCATGGTACCTTCCTCCTTTTCCTTCTTCACATGATAGACCTGAATCATTGATTGGACCAACCTATTGCCTTACTATGCCACAGCTAATGATTGAGAAAGATCATAGTCTGGACATCCCACCAAGACAAAAGATGGAGCAACAGGAGTCGATTGCGCGAGAGCATAGCGAGGAGCACAAGGCAGCTCTAAGGAGGGCTGTAACATTGGCTGTTCCTCATGCCTTTTCCCCTTCACAATATGGGACATTCCAAGATGAAGAGGGTAGACAATCCCACAGCACAGGTGGTGATTCTTCTTTTGGTTCATCAAACAGAAGCAAGGCAAAAGAAAGCTGGGATGAACTGATTGAGCGTCTGTTTGAGAAAGATGAGCAAGGCCACATGTTACTGAAAAAGCCACTCACTGATGACTCAAGTATGTAACATTATGATTGCAGCCTTTCCCGTGGTGATTTGGTGGACTGGACCCCTTTTGTCCATCTCAGAAGGAAGTCTGTGCAAAAAGGATGTTATTACTCCCGAGCTCTTCCATACAAGACACTAATTCCTTTATCCAAGCAGAGTGGCTTTTGCTGCAGAGGTGAATGAGATGACAAGCTCTTATCAGCATCGGATGTTGACGGCGTTGCGGGGCTGTGCGCGACATTTTTTTCGATTAAAGTTTAGTAAGTTTGTACTGTGAAAGCATGCAGGAGATGGATCGACGTGTATATCTTGGCATTCTTTGATGCATTAGGCGGAAGCCGCTATTGTGAATATAATATATATGTACATGCGCATAAAAGAGTTGTGTGCTATGATGTCTTCGGATTTGGCCCATTGGGCTTTGTTCATTGGCCCGAACTGCTTTAGCGTTTCACAAGAGCTGGCATTGAGAAAGGCCTTATGCGCGTCAAACTGCAGCCTATTTTCTGGACGACAACAGAGCACGCCCATTCGTGTCACTATTTTGCCTAATTGTACTCCCCAAAAAATAAAATAAAATATAACTTAATAAACAAGATTTGCCCACAAATTTTATTGATGCCAAAATGTGGCTCAACCAGTCAATTGTAAACATAAACTTTTTCCGTTCCATATGTTTGTTTTAAATGGATGAGAGCGGCAAAGAATCAATCTCCCGTTCTATTCGATCTATAGTCCTTAATGGGCGATTAGCATGTCTCTAGGCTTCTATAGTTTCGTATGTTGGAGCCCAGATACTGGTGTTATTGCCCAACAAACCCAGATTATGTTTGGATTCCATTTTTTTGATTTTTTTTTTGTAGAAAAATTACTGTAGAAATTTGATATATATATATATATAAAATAAAAAGGTGATTGGAAAATGTATTAACAGAAAACGTATAATGTTTCCTACCAAAAATGACTCCTAATTGCAGGATGAAACTTGTCATTGCCGAGCCATTACATACAGGTTTAGAAATTATTGTTTGCTAAAACTTTAGCACCTGAAAGTGACTAATAATCTGCATTCCTTTTGTTATATGTTAGCTCATAATTTTAAAAAAAAAATTTTATTTTTTGGGTTGTTCCATAATTTGGACCAGGCAGCCGGAATTTGGCTCTCAGGCTGCCAAGAGAAAAGAGTTAAAACCAAGCATAACCCCCTTTTTTTACCAAATGACCAGACAAGAAGGTGGGGAATTGAGTAATATGACTACCGCTGGACCCATGATTTAAGTCATCATTTTCTTATATTCTCTTTCCATTTCCCATGATTTAGAGGTTGCGCAGAATAATAAGAAGAGTGAAGCATCATCATTCTCTCCACTCTCGAGTCTCGGCCGTGTTCAAATTCAAGAATGGCAGCTCCAGAGGGCTGGAATTAGTAATGCTTTTGTCTCAACATTTGAACTCAAGCTGCTGAAGCGATTCTTCAATTTTTTTTCTCCCCAAGTTTCTGTCAAATGCTTCGATCCCCGTCATTCATGCGGACTTATTCGTCAATTTTCCTCGTTCTCCTCCTTTCGTGGTGCCCTTTTGCAGCAGAAGCGTAAGTAACGCGTTTAATTCTCTTCTTGTTGAGCTTTAGCTCGATTGGGGACGGACTAATTCACTATTTGGTTGGTAGCATCTTGACTGTAATTAGTGTTTTGCCATTGGTTTTTTGCTAGTTCAATTTTTTTCTCTCCACTCTAATGATTCGAGTTTGCGTGAAGATGCCCATGTTCAACATTTCAGTGGTCCTCTGTAACTAATACTCTTGTTTTGTTGTGTCATTCATGGAACGTGTGGACTTTTAACAGTGTCGAATTTGAGGGCAGGATCGGTTCTTTTTGCCTCAGCTGTTTCATGTGGTAGGATTGTTGAAGGGATTGTAGTTTTTGTTCGAGATAAGCTGGTATTACTTCTCAGAACTTCACTCAAGTTAGGATGAAGAGCAGAGAATGAGGCAGTTTCGAAATGAGCTTAGATTAATCTGTTTGGCAAGGGTGAAGCTAAGTTTGAAAGTGAAAAAAAAATGTGTAGGAAGCTGGATTTGAGCTCTAAAGCTCACTAGAACCCCTTGGTGGAAAGGGACGTGATCAGAAACCAAGAAGAAATTTGAAGATCTTAACTTTATCCATTTGCTTTATTATCAAGTGTTTAAGAAAGTTTTTGGGGCAACATGTTATCCTTCGGGCAAAAAACTTGTACACGAAAGGAAAAAATGTATCAAAAGAGGTAAATCAAGATATCGTTTTCTTTGCCTTCGAGACTATCCGAATCTCTGTCTTTCATTCCTTTTTATTGTTTTGGCTTCTTTTTTTTGTCTTTGGTTGGAAATGGATTCCATCAGGTATAATATCTTAAACATGATGGCTGTAGGATTAAAAATGTACTCTAATCCAAGGGGATGGCTGTCCTTGGTTAGCTGCTGTAGACATAATCACCCAAATTCTCTTTGTTTCAAGACTATTAAACTAGAAAGAGACTCTTTTTACTAGTCCTTGATACAAGTGTTATATCTTGCAGTTCAGTGGCCAATAGTTCATTTGTGAAATTATATAGGCTTCTGGGATTTCTTTCTCCACAAATATATTGTCTTATCGAACTATAGTTCTGTATAATAGCTTAAGGATTACATCATGTTTCTTTCTCATGGTTTTGGAAATTCATATTTTCTTATTGACAGGTGAAATGAAAACTACTTATCGTGTTTTTCTGCATAATGAACTTATGATACGGTACTGCTCTCTGTTGGTAGAAAAATATCTGAAAAGTGTATAAAACTTGATATATAGCCCTGCTTCCTGATAATACAAAAACGTTCTGGAAATATTTAGTATAAGCCTATATCTTCTTGCGTTCGTTGTTGCTTAGGCATTCTCATCTGTTTCAGTAGTCGGAAGGAATTGAGGACCAAGGAGGTGCAGCGACAACAAATTAGCCAAATTGACCTTCCAGGACGGCTTGGTGTTATTGATCCAACACGAGTTACTCAAGTAGCCTGGCGACCAAGGTCGGGTAGCCTGATGGATCAATGAGTATTTGCTTCTCTTACTTGGCTTTCAGATAATGAAACAATTAACTTCTAGAATTCCCCATGACCAACTCAGGAAGAGCTATTGTTCTAGCACGTGGATCTGTGCAGAATAACAGTTGTACAGATGACAGTATAGGTTTCCAAGAGGGATCTGTGTATTGCATGAGTAGTTAAAAAGAAGTTACCGTGTATCAGAAAATAATTGATTTTTTTTTCTGGTCTCAGGGTCTTTATGTATAGAAACTTTGTATCAGAGGAGGAGTGTGACCATCTGATTTCTTGGGTAAATTCCATTCCCTCTCTGTTTCATGGCATTTTCCTGATTAGCTATTTTAACTGATGTGTCTTTGTTTTAGGTGCAAGGAAAGAAAAGTAATTCTGTCGTTGATGGTGATTTGAAGGAGACAGATAATCTTCCTTCCAAATCAATCATGCCATTAAGTATTGAGGTGAGTTTTTTGCTTCCAAGATAAGGACTCATCTGCCTGCCTCTGGAATAAGCCTGCATGTAACTGTCTGTTTCTTGCTTAGCTATTCAGAAGGGGCTTGCCGCTGTTCAAACATACTGTACCTTTTCTTCTTGATGATGAACTTACATAATCTTGCCATCATATGAACATACTGTATATAGTTGATGCATGAACCTGTGTATTAATCAGTCAACATATGCACACTTTAGTCTAAAGTGGAAAAAATTGGCTAGGAAAGTAATCTTTGTAGTCTCACTTGTGGTTTGCAACTCTTTTGCGTGTGTAGTCTGTTGTAACTGCTGGAAGTGCACAGGTTGGAAGAATCTTGGATCTTGCACCTTTAGCTTTTTCCTTTGTTTTTCTTAATCAAACTCACATTAATGGATGAAAAACCTGTTTATTGAAAACTACAAAAACTGTAACTGGTTAAACTGTATTGGAAAGTAAAAGCAAATAGACTCTTTTGTGTAATTTCAAAAATGCTTGAAATCCTGTTGGCAATATTCGGGGAACAGATTGGTGATTTCTGTCGAAAGATACTTCTCATTAGTTATGATCTTTGTGGTTATCAGGATCAAGTTGTTGCAAGAATTGAGGAAAGAATTTCAGCTTGGACTTTTATTCCCAAAGGTGATTTTCCCTCGCTTGAAGCTGTGCTTCCTGAAACTGTTTCTCTTCTTTGCGATCCACCTCTGTTTGTTGCTTGCTCTAATTACTTCTACTCTTTCAGAAAATGGCAGGCCTTTACAGGTTTTGCATTTTGACAGTGAAGAACCTAAACAGAATCATGATAACTTTGGTAAGGAATATAAGGTGCTACCCAATGAACCTTTGATGGCAACAGTTGTTTTGTATCTCTCAAATGCCTCTCAGGGTGGCCATATTCTCTTTCCCGAGTCAGAAGTAAGAAAGAAACAACATTGATTTGAAAATTAGGCCTTTTTTGAGTTATTGCTTGCATGTTGTGGAATATAACAGACATTTTGGACAACTCTCACGCAGAATGAGATCTTGTCGGACTGTACAATGAGTAATATGGCTTTGAAACCAACAAAAGGAAATGCAGTTGTTTTCTTCAGTGTACATCTCAATGGGTCAGCTGACAACAGCAGTCGGCATGCCAGATGCCCCATACTTGACGGAGACATGTGGTGCGCAACCAAATTCTTCCATCTGAGAGCCATAAGAGGGAAGAAGGAACCTCTACATTTAGATGACACTGATTGTATGGATGAAGATGAAAATTGTCCTCATTGGGCTGCCACTGGGGAGTGTGAAAGGAATCCAGTGTTCATGGTTGGGTCTCCTGATTACTATGGAGCATGCAGGAAGAGCTGTAATGTCTGCTCATTGTTGGACTAATGCATAGGAATTTACAGTTTATTTTCATTCTCTCTTTTTGCCCGTTTGTATTTGTAGAAATGTTGAAAGAGTTAGAATTAGAGGTCTCCTGGCTTTTCTCCTTTACATGTTGCAGGTTGATTTTTAGAGTGGCTTCATTCCTGGTAGGCCTTCAGTTTGTATATTTAATTCTATATTGTGTAAGCTGTAACTAACAGAATCATACACAGGACTGGGCTGTTATGTTTATACAATTCAATTATTCAATCCCTCCCTCTGTATCTTTTCCTCATATTCATCCTACTGAACTGAATAGTGCCGTTTAGAATAGTTTCCACCTTTCCCCCAGAGTTTGATTTTGCTATGCTCAAGTTCAACAACATCGCGGAGACCGGGTGAAAGGTGAAAAACGTTTTTGCAAAAGTTTGATCCGCGGAAATTTTCCGAGGGAAGGAGGTGATTGTGGCTCCGAATGCAATCAGCAGAAGGTCAAACTTTGTACAAAGAAGCCCATCAATAATCAATTTCACTATTTCATAAACACAATAGAGTAGAAGACAGTCTACAAAAGAAAAAACATTTCTAAAGAAAAATAAGGGTCAAATGTAAACATTTCAAGCTCCAGTATTACAGATCCTTGATAAGGAAATTGGGTTACCTGTTACTCTACTTGTAAGTAATTCAAGTATATTGTTCAGGAAAGATTATCACTTGCCACACTTCTTTCCGCTCGTTGGAAGCTTTCCCAACAGTATATATCGAATAGAAAACATGAAATCTTATAAACAGTAAGAGTCCATGGAGAAGCATTGATATCATGTCTTAATCCCAGCAAAATGCTGTACAGTGTATCCGACTTTCTCAAACTTGCCCTTTTCACTGTTCTCCCTAAATTTTAGATAATCTGCACAGACAAAAGGTTTATAGAGCCTTGAAGTTTCCTCACCAACGACTTCATGAGGTGCAAATATCACCTTTTCATCTTCAAAACACCAGAAGAAAGCAGTGGAAAATCGATTTGCACATCGTCTTAGAACAACTCTGTGCTCGGATGACCTCAACTTGCCATTGCTCCAAGCTTGCATTAAGTCACCGATATTCACCACAAGGTTGCCATTGCTCGGGTTTATGTCCATCCATTTCCCATCCTTAGACCTCACTTGAAGGCCTCCAATCTCATCCTGATAAACGATGGTTATGCAACTCATGTCGGTGTGCATTCCTAGCCCTTCAACCTCGTCTAATTGCATGCTCTCGGCCTCGGCCTCCCTGGATGATGAGTAATTATTTATTCTGAAGTAACCTTGACAACTGTCGAACTCAGATGATAGCTTCCTCCCTAAATCAGCAGCAGCTCCCAAACACTCCAGGACGATCTCAATTACCCTTCTGGATAAGTCAGTCATCTTGCTCCCATATTCTTGCAGAACATCACTAGAGATGAACAGACATGGATCAACAGAATGAGCTCCGTCGAACATAATGCGAATTAATGCTAAGCAGTACATGAAAAGAACACTTCATCCACATTTTTAAATCGCTCAAACATTAACACATTCTTTTCATATCATGTGCTACATACGAAGTACATGTATTTCAAGTCTTAAATAAACTAGTTAGAGTGAAACGATGATCGTTGAAATTCTGCATGATAACTGCAGAATTAAGTGCTGCTCTCTCTCGTATGCCAAAACACAAAGAAAGGAACTTGATAAAAGGGAAAAAAGCGAAAATAATAAACAAGAGGGAGTAATGATCGTTGAAATTCTGCATGATTACTTAAGGATGTTTGCGGTTTCACAAAAGAAAATAAAAGTTACCGAAGGATAAGTTTTGCACGTCAAAATTTGTTTGGCTTACCTGAATTCTGGATTGGGACGATTCAGGAGAGCTTCTGAAGAACTCTGCGCGGAGGCAAAGAAGTCAGGACCAGAAACCCGGATGGACTCATAAAAAGGGGAGGCAATGAAGTGAGGAGTATACGTTTTTGTTTCCGAGGAAGGACCAGCTTTAAGTTTATCATCAGAAGGCAGCATGAAAATATGATTGCAAAGGAACTGCAACCTCTTGAGGAAGTCAGGGCAAATCCCATGGTTGCTAAGTTGAAAGAAACCCCATTCTTTACAGGCGACAGAGATTGAGGAGAGAGATGATGGGCTTAAGGGCTGCGAAATATCCAAAACAGGAAGTTCTACCGAAGTTTGGGACGCAGGCATGATGTGAAGTGTATGTTTCTTTAGTTGCAGGTTGCTATCTTTCTTAAATAGAGGAAATGTTAGTCCTTGGTGTTTAGTATATGTTCTTGGAGAAGTGGAACAATACGAAGAGCACATGGAGTGGAATAAATTTCGTACAAATGGGACAAGTAATTTTTTCGGCATAAAATGATTTCTGAATTGAATAATTCAACTGTGTAATTAAGTTTACCTTCACCATTTGCGCCAAAGATGACAAAAAAATAAAAAATTGTCCATGAAAGGAATGCATAGGCTAAGTACTTCGCAGGATATAACCACGAAGCATCTTTCACTGGCTATACATAAAAAAATTTGATTTTCCAAGTAGGTGAACCGAGGGCCTGGAACAAGTTATCATGACTCATGAGAGGAATTTTGGGGCTATAACTTTCATCAACAGACAACTCCAATGTCTTAGACCTCAAAAAAAGAAGACAATAAATATGGTATTGAAGGTTTTTGACATTGCAAATGTTGCTAATATGGCTTTGACTGAGAGAGAAGGTCAAAGCTGTAACAGCAGATGGGCAGCAGCAGGCAGGAATAGTGGAGGTGTGCTGGTCATCTCCATTTCAGTCAAATCTAGTTTATTCGTACTAATGACTACGTTCTTCACCTTAGATTCTTGAAGTGGAAGTCTCCTCCACTCACTCAAGCCAACAAACATGACAACGAGGTCACTTGAATAAAAATTGGAAGCAGAATATACGCCCCAACCGACCTTCTCATCAGGCTTATATTTCCGGGCTCTCTGTGTTCCATGGAAGGAGATTGCCCTCATGGAAACGCTTTAGTTAGATTTATAAGTCTCTATGTTGCAAAATCTATGGCTCATGCTGACAGGAAGAACAATGCAATGCACTGCAACTTGACCTGCAGGGTTGCACCCGGTTTATATTATATGAATTCAGACACAAATTTCTTCTCTTGATTAAGGGACGAGCAAACTTTTTGGGCACGCATAAACCTACGTTCGAGACGTTAGATTAGCAAGTTTTCGGGACTTACTTTCCTTGTCACTTCCAACCCTATAAAACAATTCCTGCAACTTCTCTTGTCAATGTTCAAAAACCCACCCCTGAACGTCCATCTGACCCTGCAAATTGCACTAAAATAACCTTAGGTGTGAGCTACAAAAAGTCGTAGAAAATTCTTAGCTGATGATTTGCCGTGGTGTTTGACTTTCCCAGTTCGACCTCTAACAGCCGCAGTTCTTTAAGGATTTTCCATTCTGCAAGCACATGTTTTCTACCGGAAATCTACCCCTGGCCTCAGCCCAATGAAAGGATCTTTACCTCTAAACCGCTCGAGACACTTGCTTAAAAGACTGGAAAACGAAACCCCCCTTCTTCAATTGGCTACGAAACGAAGTTTTTTTTTTTTTAATTCATCTCTGGTCCACGAAATACAGATCATCCTAGTTTGTCAACATGCTCTGTATACCTTTTCTGAGTGGAGATAAAGATTTCATAGAGTCTATCCATGTCGTGAATGACAAACACCAAGATGTTATTGTTGTCATTCAAGGTGGCAAGACAAGGAAGTTAAAAGTCAGCACAATCTGGAGCCAGACAAAATCATTCAGAAACATCCCTGATTTTGTTTGGATCCTCTGGAGGGGACCATACAATCACATAATCTAGCAGCAACATCGTACCAAATTCACAGATGATTCTATTATCAGATCATTAAGCATTGCATTCTCTAGACCTCGAAGTAGTCACTCCCTGACTCACACACGTTTCTGTATACATGTATACGGTCATTAAAGACCGATCCCAGTTCCAGAAACTTAGACCAAGCTTGCGCCCCTGAAAAAATGCAGCTATAATTGCTCAAGGAAACTAGTTTAACGCCTGATGCTAGGGCAACATACAATGAATCATCAACAACATCTGGGAAGGAATGAGTAATTTACTATTCCACGACATCCCCATTAAACAATCGCCTTTCCTTAACAATTATGAAGTGCGTACATTGTATTTTCCAAGTGCCCAGAATTCTTTTTTCTTTTTCCGGTAACAATGGTTGATCAATAGGAAAAAAGACTTTAAAAGGGTAGTCCTGTTTTCGACAATCAATCGAGATGACAAATTGGTGCAAATTTATCTGCAGTACATATTACATATATGACCAGCACATTTCACATTTGTATATATAGAGCAGAATCTTAACAAGTCAGGATTACAAGAAAAAGGCAGAGATCAGAGCTCAGTGACGAGAGAAGTAGCGGTGGAGTTGGAATTAGGGCGGGGACGGGGTGACAAGGAGTAGGAAGGGGTGAACTTGTGCAAAGAACAGCCTCTGAAAGCTTCAATTTGGGGTTGGCACTTGAGGTGGTAATCTTCTTTATGCTCCGCCAAGCATTTCTTCAGGGCCTCCACATCACATCCCCCTACATTTCTCTTCACTCCATCGCTGTTATTGCTGTTGTTCTTCCCCTCCATTTTTTTTCTTTCTTTTTTTTATGAGCCCTTTTTCTCACTTGGCGAAACTAAACCCAGTGAACTTCCGATGTAGTATCCAGTACGTCACTTCGATCTCCAGTCACCTGGAAAAGCACACACGTGCACGAAAACACATGAAAAATGCGAATCATTTTAGATGCCTCTGCCCATTTTAGCTTAAAAATATATATATATATACAAGTTGGCCACTGATGGTCCGGCCCATTTTGTCGCTACTCGCTGGCCATTGCAATCCGGCCGTCTTTTGCTTAACAAAATGGGCTGGACCAGAAATTGTTGGTGGTTCTGCCCCCTCCGGCAGAGCTTGCTCGACCTCTAGCCCAGCATGATTTAGTTTTTAAGCCCTGGCCAGCTCATTGCAAGTCTCCGGTAAACCAGTCTTTTAATTTTTACCCGGTAAACCATTATCAGTGTACACACTAAATAAATCGTTTATTTTTTTAAAAAAAATTTTCTGAGGATAAACAATGTAGGTAGCAAAAACTTACAAGAGAAGCCTCCTCTTCAGTCCAAAAATATTTTAATTCATTTCGTTTCTTTTTTTTTTTTTGAAAAAATACATTTAA